CAGAAGTCTCCAACGGCTCTTACCACGCCTCTCCAGGACAAAAGGTACTGTGCTTACGTGAATGGACAGCGAGTCAAGGGCTGACTTTCACAGATCAGAAAAGGTCTTATATAAACGACACCTCATCTTCTTTTCTACTCTGTCTAAGATCAGCGCCCCTCTTTACATGATCCAGGCTCGCATCAAGCTTTGCAAGATGATAACGGGGTACGATTCGTTCTAACGGTTTTCTTTAAACTAGCCATGTGTTCTACACAAAAGATCCTAAAATTTGGACGCCAGTCTGGGACCACTCGACGAAAGCCCAGAGATTCGCCGAACCACTTGATATGCAAATGAACATGAGCAACTATATCAACACAACTCAGAAGCCCGGCGATCGATCGATTTTGGACGAGATCACGTTGTTGCGGAAGCGTCGAGTTCTATAAGCATCTGAATGAGCAGATTAGGCTTGTCTGCTTCAAGCGTCTGTTGTCTCTAGTTGCAGAAAATGCGAGGCTGCGGCCCTAGCACCACTCTTTGGTAATCTTTGCCAGAAGATGAAGGGTCCAATCAGTACCACAGCTCAACTTCGCATTTTAGTGCATAGTCTTCAGGGCAGGCAGGTTCAAGGCGTTGAAAGTGCGATACTGGTGTTCTGAATTGAGGATGCGGCAACTGCTAATCGAGTGTCTCATAATATCCAAAAACAGTTGTTTCTCATCTACATGTTGGAAAGGGAAAACTTGTTGCTGTCCCGTCACGGGCACTGTTTCCTGGTCTGGAGGAAATGCGTATATAATGTGGAGGCAAAATAGATCAGCTCATGCACAACAGCAAAGACCCTTTCAAAATTTGTGCGGGAGCATCCTACGAGGTTCAACTCATTGAAACAATTGTACTACTTATACGACTTCCATCAGACATCACCACGTGCAAAATCACGATTCTCGCAGAAAGAAACGGGAAAACCACTTAGCAATAATGCAAACATATGGTGAAAATGTCCAGCTTTCACAGCATATCGACTGCAGCATTTGTTTTTTCATTTCGCCAAACCCGGAGTGTTCACCGCTGGGCGCAATCTCGCAACATTTATATTATTACTGTATGACACTTTAGCCCTGATATTCATTTCTTGGTAACATTTGGGAAACTCATACTTATCATCTTCAGCGTCATCCGAGAGTTGACTACAATTTTCGCGATTTTCCTCCTACTGCGCCACAGTGTTACGAAGCAAACTGCGAAGAATGAGAGTAAGAACCGACAGCCGTATGACTTCTGGCTCCAGCCCTCGTCTTTTAGTATGGAAGCCAGACGAGTTCATATTACAACACATGAACGTTCTTGAACAAAGTTTATTCATCTGAATAAAAATTAAGGTAAAAATATTACAAAACCTCACTATTGAAATTCTTGAAAATTAACAGCTCCGAACAGCAGTCAATATTTGTAAGAAATTTCACAGTGGTATCAAAGGAGGAACTTGTCGGAAGGGACCATATCTACATTGTGATTAGAAGCCATCATATTTCACATCATATTGCTTCATACACTTGAATGTGACGGATAGTGAACGCTGTCAGCGAATGCGCTTCTGTAAGGGACAAAAGTGCGCGGGTATTAATAGCACCAACATCTGCGATAGCTGGAATACGTCAACCGATTCCCAGCTTGAATATGATGTTTTGAATCTTGCATGCATTAGGACGGGCCTGCTTGATCCCAGCTCTAGTTGTCTATTCTACAAAAATTCCGTTAACTACAGCCTATACAAAAAAAGTTCGAGGTCTTTCGGTGTGTGTGGAGCGGGATGGCTATGTTTGAAATTACCACAGGAAGTGCAAACGCTGAATTTGAAAAAAAAACTGCGTTGTATAACTAATCTTTAACATGTCAATCACCGCCTTTCACTACCCACGCAACGTTGGGCAACACGTTCCTCACGGACAGGCAGCATACAGAAATATGGACGGGCGCCACTGATCCAATTCTCTTCTGTGAATCACAAGAGGAAGCAGAGCGAATAAATATGAGGTATGAAGGGACCACAGACCATAAATAGTAGGGACCATGATTTGTGTACAAGACTAATATGGAACGATAAGGGCTGATAAAGAGTTGCAGAAAGGAGAGTCACTAGGTCTGTAATGCGCTTTGTACTAACAGTGGAACCTTGTCATTTTAATAGGTGACGTAGGACATGACGGGATTGCAGGTATTCAGAGACGGAAACTAATAGAAACTGATAATGGCTGGTGATGAGCTGTTAAAAACAACAAGATATGCTTCCCGTGATGGGGATCGAGAACAGTTGGTGAAAGGAATTGATAACAACTAATATGGGTTGATAACAATTTTAAGAAGGGGAAAGCCATTTACACAATTGCTTTGTTAGAGCCTTGACAGCCTTGACAGGTTGGCGTGTATGTGGAGTGGGACAGATGGCTAGTTATCCTACTATATATGATTCGCCACGTCCGTCTGTTGATTTGTCGGTGTGTTGTGTGTGTATGTTTGTAGGTATGTATGTGACGGTGTGTGTGTGTTTGATCGGAAATTCATAAGTCCTGTTCCTGTGGGCCTAGAGCGTTGAAATTTGATAAGAGTACAGGCGGCGGGATGGGGACACTTATGATATGCGACAGGAAGTGATAACAAATGAAAAGGCTGATAGAGAGACTTAGAAGGCGATAGCCGCAGGATCTCTTACCTTCTTCGTGTAAACGAAGATGCTCTGGCACTTCAGTAAAGTATTTGGATTAAGAGGGGACTGTTGTTAAGTAATAAAGACTGATAATAACTGTTAGAGACTAATAAAGAGCCATTGCAGGCGAGAGTCCTTAGGTCTACAACGTCTTTCATATTGACAGTGGACCACCTTAGGTGGTGTTGGATGTGAAGATGATTGATGACAAGTACTGACTGCAAGCGGACAAGGGCTGACGAAGAGCTTAAAAGGCTAGAGCCACTAGCTTCATAACAATAGCGAAACCTTAGCATTTTGATAGGAGTTGTAGGATGTGAGGTGGTCGTAGGTACTGTACTGTGTCAAGAACTGGTAACAACTGATAAGAGCTGATAAGAGGCCTGATAGAGCAAGGACCACTCACCAATTAAACCTAACGACATTGGCTTTCACGATCAAACATTGATTCTTTGATATGTTTCATTAATATGACGAGATGGTAGAGTAGGGTAACAAAAGCGGGTGGTGAGTGCAGTAATAGAGACCCATTAGCGGCACTATGATAAGCCTGTTCTGTTCATTTCTTGCTATTAGATCACGACCGCCACCCAGCAAGGTTTGAGACTCAATGAAGGTTTCTCCTTGTTTGATATCATTTGCGGAACTCAACCGATCGCTAGTGAACTGGAATTCTCAATTAATAATATCTCCGTAAAGGTTTATTGATAACGACATCTGATTATGGTGTTATCATCACACGAAACATTTTTAAGCACCGCCCGAACACTTATTACCTAACAATTGACTAACGGACTCTGTTTTATACTAAGAGCCTTTCAGTATGTTGGACGAGGACCTGCTCAGGAAAGGCAGAGCTCACGATAATTCTTAGGTATCTAGCTTAATTGGAATAATGGCTAGGTGCAGATCAGTGCAAGGGTGGCCAAGACAGACGGATTTCCATAATAAAATGGGGTTGTACGAGATCGCCGCTGTAATCGCCTGGGTGCCCCCCATGTACGTACCATCGAGGCTTCCTTACGCATAATTGTTAATAGTGCGCTCCCAATAAGGTCGTCATAGCGCGGCCACTCCGGGTGTGTCTTGACCGGCAGTGTCCCTTGTGCTATCCCATGGAGGTCACAGATTCATTTCGATGGAAATTTCAAAAGCGATTTCCATCGTAGACTGCACCTTCAATGTAACCTTCCATCCCTACGAGACAATCGGATAGCTGCCATACTCATAAGTACATGGACGGATAGAACATTGATTCTATTTTGAACATCATACCATATGGTTAAATGACGTTGCCTTTAAGGTTGGGTGTCGGAAGCATGACTTCTGTCAAGGATTCGTAGAGTGCTATAGATTTAATTGTATGAACATGAGAAGGGTGGTACAGGACATTAGTCATAGACTTAAAAAAAACCTAAATCTAAATCTAATAGACTTATTTTCTTCGGTACTGGTTACTGCCTCCCACATTTTGTCCCTTTGTTTTGTTCTTGAAATCTTGTAACAAAGGATTTTTCAGATAGAACGCGCTCGCCGTGTAGTGGAACAGGCAGTAAATGAACACTAGGAACAGAACAACGAACTCAACTCACAGAACTGTGGACTTGCAGCTGCTGTGAGCCAGCTCGACAACGAAATCGCTCTCCTCAAGGTTATATTCAACTCAAAATTGAATGAACTACCACTTCATCCTTTTGATGATTTTAGGATGTCTTTCAGAGTCTATGGCGAGGTTTTACACATTTTGTTTATTTAGAGTGACATTTCCGAAGCTCAAATGGAACTGGCCGCCTCAGAGGACCGTGGATGGCGAGCTGGGGGACGGTACATTCGTGCGATTCGGACTGCGCGCTGCAAATCGCGCGGCGGAATCCATAACGATTTTGACGACTTTGGCACCTATTATTGGGGCCTGAATTTCAGGTAAAGTAGATCAGTAGTATCAGCTGACCATACTAATCTACTTTACTTTAAATTTGTGCCCCAGTAGTAGGCGCTATAGTTATTCGAAACGCCACGAACTTTGCCGTTCACCTTGCCGCGCGCGGTTCGAATCGAATATTCACACACCCGTCAAGCTGCAGCAAATGCAGCCAAAATGTCTGGGGACCTGCGGATGATTTCTAAATTCCGATGGTTACTTCACGAGATGCAGCTTTTTCCTTCTTCTTTCGCTTTTATATTCTTTTTTATTTTATTCAATTATCAATAGCTAGAAAACTTACTGAGACTAATAGCTGAAAGCTCAAATGAAGATATCGATGAAGAGAAAGAAACAATGAATAATCATCTCATTTCATCTCAGGATATGCAAGAACGTGCCGACATAGCCGTAGCTGCTGTTATGAAGGGTGGAGCGGAGGCGGTCATGGAGGCTGAAGCCCGTTTGAAAGCGCTCCAGGGCGATCTTGAGACGGAGACCCGCCGCGCTACAGAAGCAGCGAAGTCCCTCGCCCGTGCTGATCGACGAGTACGTGAACTCGACTTCCAAGTAGTGTTTCAGGATTTTCCAACATGATCTGCTTATATAGTGGACTGAACAAATAGTGCCACTAGTGAAGACCACTGAATTCAAAATGTACACCCCTTACAATATTCGTTCCGTTCTGCGTTACAGGTCAATGAAGACAAGAAGAATTACGATAAGCTGCAAGAGCTCGTAGAAAAGCTCTCTGGTAAATTAAAGATGCAAAAGAAGCAACTCGAGGAGGCGGTAAGTCCTGCGCTCAAATGTTGCCCTGCCCTAATGATGATCCAATCCTGTTCAGGAAAAGCAGGTCAACCAGCAACTCGCCAAATACCGTACTGTACAAATGGCATTGGAGACGGCTGAAGAACGTGCGGACAGTGCCGAGCAGTGCCTCGTACGAATTCGATCCCGTGCACGAGCTATTACCGAACAGAAATAGATCGAGAACCGAATTTGATTTTACAAATAAATCTACAGTGTTTGTAGTTCAGTTACAATTTTACTTTTCTTTTCTTCGTTGGTTACCATAGCTATGGTTGCAATTCCGCTTGCTGTCTAGTCAAAATAAATCTGTGAGCGTTTAGAAGCATCCTTTCTTGTATGATTTTTTTAGTCAAATCCTATGGCTACGCTACGCTCTCCTCCTTCCTGTCCTAAATAGAGAATGCCCTACCACTGTCTTTTTATTCCTTCCCCATCTACTCAAAACATAATAGCCAGTTTTTTAGTACGCCTCGATATTGATCGGCATCGGTTGATCAATATCGATCGCTCATTGCGGCGATATTCTCATAATATCACCTCATCTTCATCAAAGTATGGAAGATACACTCCCAAAAGAAGCCTAGATATCGGTATTTATGGCTAGTTCGGTTGACTACCAGTATCACCTGTCGCCCTGTCGATCATCGACTACCTCGAGCGGGATTACGTCTACACTTGTCCTCGTCGCGAGCCAGAGTGATCCAGTGGATCGTCTTCGCTCAAAGCATAACGTTCCACTCGTTCAGAGCTTTCGTGAAGAAGTCATGCCCTCGGAACCTCGAATTCTCCTCACCACTCGCGTGTATAGGGGAATTCGGAATATAGTCATTTCAAATAATAGTCCCTAGTTGCGTATTCAACGTCCTTCCGTAAAGTTCAAGTCCCCGATGTCCTCACATGTGAACGTCAGAGGAAGAAGGGCAGTGCTGCGGAAAGATGAGACTTCAACCGGCTGTCCTTCGCCTGGTTCTCTGCTGCCTCGATGTACCTGAACACTTAGCGGATTTCCTACTGCTATCTTCCGAAGCTAGTGGCTGAGTGCATGTTGACTTCTCGACCTAAATTCACGTAACTAGCGCAATCGAAGATATTCTTCCCCTTAAGCGGAAGCATCACCATTTTCAGCACGTTTACCACAGACACTGTCCAGAGTTAAGTCTCATGTCGACCTTCACAAGGGTGACGTTGTATTTTAGAATAAGCTCGATAGTGACAGCGGTTTCGAACCAGTCGCTGCTTGAGTTTTGTCGGTAACCTCGACCATCCTACTATGTCCTCTGGGCCACACCTGCCACAGGGCTTCTTTTATGGCAGAACTCATACCATCCTTTATGAAGGATTTGAAGGAAGGAAGGAAAACGTTGCTTTCTCTCCGAACCATCGGTCGTGGGACCATGTTGTTATCTCACAGGTGATTCGGGTAGATATCTGCGTTAAGCAGGGTAACCGTTGTCAATGGGGTACCCGTTGAAAAGAGCTTGGGAAGAGCACTTTTCGTTGCGGGCTTCGATGAGCCCATTCTGTCCTGCCCTCTGGATGAGACTTCCTATAGTAGTGTATAGTATGGGATGATCCATTCTCTGTACTTCACTACTATAGCAAATTCGACAACCTGTTCTATTTCTAATGCTTGCTGCTTACTTCCTGCTCTGCATCTTGTGCCAGCAGTGCTGTAGCTCTGCATAAGATACTGCCTGTAAGTTCTTAGGTAGGCCCTCTTCTTGAAATCTACACCTGTTGTCGTGAGCACACAGTGCCATGATCCAGGAGATTTAGGAGGGCCGCGAAAGAGCTTAAAATTGAGTAAGTAGGCAGTCACATTCCCTAATGGTTTCAGTACTAATTTGGCAGCGGCAGCGATTTTCCGGGTCCCAGTCTAACCACGGTTTTTTTTAGATGCAATGAACGATGGTAAGTGAGGAGGAGGTAACAAATTACCTCCAACCATCGAACATATTTCCTTTTATATTCATTTGCATTGAAAGCTGAAGGGAATCACTACGAGGTAAAGTACAACGAACAACATGAGTTCGAACATGCTTACGACGCCAACGGATGTAACTTTAAAGGAGGACCTGTACAATGATTGCCTAGCCTGCTATATCATCATACTTCGCGGTAAGTAATGATCCGGAAAAAGATAATTAATACTCGCAAATCCTAGTCTCCGTCATGACCTGTCCAAACCACATCAATCAAAAATTATACGTCATTTATCCATAGGACATGGACAATACCGGTACAGGATTTATTAAATAGACGAATAAAGTGACTACGACGATGTGAGTACTTACACGTGGGTACCTCGAATAGTGTCGAGTCGCGGGATGGATGAAGAAGTTGGAGTTGGTGGGGAGACGGGACGGAACATGACGTCATTCACTGCTTGCGGAATAAGGAATCCTGAAGACCAAGAGTCGTCGAGCGTCTGCTGTTTTTACGCGCATATCGTACACTTGGATTCGCGTTATATGCTCATACGTGCACTCTGTTAGTTTCGGTTTGCCGCACGCTCCCCTTGTATCTCACTCTTTTACAGAGGCTCCGACTCGAGCTGTGCTTGTGGAACACAAAGGTACAACCACATCAGACCAAGTGAAAACATTGAGAAATTTAGGGAGTGTACTGACCGGAAATATTGGGGAATCCAGGGCCATTCTCTGGATTTTCCAATGTTTTCGCTTAGTCTGATGTGGTTATATGTGTCCTGTGTTATAACTGAATGATTGTTTGCATCTATTGTAAACCTAAAGGCACAGTTCACGGTAATTTCGAGGAACCCTTTTCAAGTCAAGAAACAGAAGTATCGGTCGGGATTAGGGCAA